AATGTGGGCTTGTTTCTGTGGGACTGCAGGTTTACACGGGGAACTAGGATTAGTGACAGCTGAACTAGATGGGAACTCACCTGACAGGAACCCACCTGACCCACCTGTGGCTGGAAGAAGGTCAGCTGTGGCCAGGCTGCAGTACCCACCGGTATATGCAAAGGCCAGGACTAAAGGCAGACCATGCCAAGTGGTGCCACTGCCCTCACTGGCACATGTGAAATCCATGGCTGGGAGCAGGCCTGGTAGGAGAACTTGAGGAACTCTCCTGCCAATCCACAGCTCCCTCTGGGGAGCACTGAAGCCTGGGCTGGGGGAGGGCCTGGTCAGGTAAGATTGTATCACTTATGGGTGGGTCTGGGGAAAAGCCGGGCTGAACCAGGCCTTAGCACTTGCTCACACAGGAGCCAGGACATAGTGTGGGTCACACCCAACTGTGCTGGGCTGGGCTGCAACACCTGCCAGTAAGAGCCAAGACTGTGGATGGGCCATGTCAGACTGGGTCGAAGCACTCCCCAGCAGAAACAAAACCCAAGGCTTGAAATAAGCCTGGTAGAGGGGTTCTCCTGCTGGACTGCAGCTCCTAATCTTGAGTGCAAGAGCTAGGGCTGTGGGCAGACCAGGTTGGGCAAGGCTCCAGTACCCACTGACAATCACAAGAGCCAAAATGGGTATAGAACAGGCCTGACTGGGCCACAGCACTCACCAAGTCACACAAGAGCCATATCTGGGAGAGGGCCAGGCTGAGCTGGGCTGTAGCACCCATCAATGAAAGCTGGAATGGGTGTGAGCCATTCAGGCTAGGCCTCAGTACCCATCAGTGAGTACAAGGACATGGGGCTGGTCATGTCAATCTGGGTAACAGTATCCACTGGTACATGTGGGATCTGGGGCCAGAACAGGCCTGGGAGGGGAACTTGATAAACTCTCCTGCTAGGCACAGCTCCCACTAGTGAGCACAAGAGCTGGGGCTAAGAACAGGCTAGACCAGGCTGAGCTGTAACATCCATTGGCACATGTGTGAGCCATCAGGGGGCAAGCCAGGCAGGGTCAGTCTACAGTACACACTGGCACAAGTGAGAGCCAAGACAGGGTATAGTCCAGTCTAGTTTGGACTTCAACACTCAGCGGTTCACATGAAGGCTGGGAGTGGGCCAAACTGGGCTAAGCTTTTGCACCCACCAGCAAGAGCTGGACTAGGGACAGGCCAGGCTAAGCCAGGCTGTAACACCTATTGGTAAGTGCCAAGACTGGGGGTTGATCATCTCAGACTGGGTTGCAGCACCTGCTAGCACAAACAAGACCTGGGGCTGGGAGTAAGTAGGGAAACATATTGGTAGGTGCAGGGCAGCTGCACCTACCAATGTGTTTTGGCTGATGAAGATGACAGACCCGCCTATGATCTTGCACTGGCTGAGGCACATAGGAGTCAGGTCTGGGGTCACCCCAGGTAAGGTTTCTTGAGGGACTCCCCAACTAAACTATTAATCACTGGGAAGATCACAGGTGTGTAGTCCAATATTGAATTGCACGTATTGGGACTGGGCCTCCTCAAGTGGTGATGCCTGTGCAGTGGACAGCATATCCAGATGCACACACAGCGAACGTGATGGCCAGCTCATCTAGGCCACAGGGACATTAACTGCCACATCAGAGGCTGGAAAGCAGAACAGGTTGAACACTGACCAAGCTTTACTTCATGTTCCTGGGTCTGTGGATGTTCTAAAGTGGACTTTGGCAGCCAATAGTTTTGAAAAGATTTTCTGAACCCTGAGCAATGAAACTAACAGTGTCTCAGGGCTAGCGAGATCACTCAGGTGATCCCCTTAGAACACTCTTGCCCATATTGGCAAACAGAGACTCTATGATGGACTATGTCAATCAGTGGATTCTTCAAGGACCTCATAGTGCTTGGAGTGGCAAGATTGGCAGCGATTCATAACTGTTGGAATATCAAAACCACTTGAGCAAGAACCTCAAAGTATACCCTACATCCAGGACCTGGGGAGGGTGGGAAATTGGGTGGGCCTTCTCCCTTAATACCCCCGTTTAAACATGAAGGAAACAATATGGAAAAAATAATAGTCTTACGCACTTTCCTGTAGCCCTTGAACCTTTTTACCCTAATTAATTACGTAAAGATTGTCAAAATATATTAAAAAAAAAAAAAAAACACTCTCGCGCATATTGGAATCTAGTTGCCCATATTGGAGTCTCTAGGCATCATCAGAAGACCATCTCTGATTCGCATGTGCTGAAGTGGTTTGGCAGGAAGGAGTGGTCCCCTCTTTCTCCCCCTGAGCACAAGAGAAACAAACAAACAAACAAAACATCTGAAACATTTGTCCCACCCATTTTCCTCCATGCCTGAACATCCCTATCGTGGTAAGAGGCTAACATGGGTGTGCATCCCTCTCAACAATAAACAATATTAAAAATAAAATTTTTAAAAAAGAAAAAACAAAAACAAATTTAAAAGAGGAGAAGAAAAGAGAACATTTATCTTCATGTACAAGGAATATTTATATTTTTTAAAGAATTATTTATTTTTAATGGAAAGACAAATATACAGAGAGGAAGAGGAATCATCTTCCATCCAATGATTCACTCCCCAAGTGACTGTAACAGCTGGAGCTGAGCCAATCTGAAACCAGGAGCCTCTTCTGGGTCTCCCACGCGGGTGCAGGGTCCCAAGGCTTTGGGCCGTCCTCAACTGCTTTCCCAGGCCACAAGCAGGGAGCTGGATGGGAAGCAGAGCCTATGGGGTTAGAACTGGCGTGCATATAGAATGCAATGACTTCCTGACTATCACTGAGTTACCCTAAAATGTAATGGGGCAAATCAAAGTTTGAGGATAAATGAGCAAGAATAACAGATTCCTTAAGGGCAAAGAGGGTCATATACGTCCATTTGATTGAATGCATAAAATAACTAGTTAGTGAATGAATCCTCCTAACTGTTCATGGGAGGTTGCAGAGTTGTAATTATTGTAAAAAAGAAGTGCCTTTGGTGCCCCTTTCAGCCACAGAAGTCCTGAAATACGCCATGAAGTCATGTAATGCTCCCCTGTGCTGGAGCCAGCAGGTCGTACTGAAGCCCTTCTGTTGCCTGTTGAGAGTCAGCCACCACTGCCGTCCTCAGGAATGTCGTTCCCAAAATAAGCCAGCCTTTTCCATGAGGTCCATGAGTCATACACAGAAGTTAATTCATTGGAGCAGCTGGGCTTTCTTAGGCCCTTTGTAAAAGCATTTGATGAAGCAAGGAAAGTCTAGATCCTCTTGGGTTTCTTTCCAGCTCTGGTCTCATTTCCTCTGCCTTTGCTTTCTCTAGCACAGCATATTTGCTCTATGCAGACAGCCTTTACTTGCAGACTTTGACATCAGCAATCCCTAGTGTTGCCTGAAACACAAGTCCACCAGCAAATCCTAGTTTACCTCACCTACTCACACTGCATCCCCATCCTCTTGCTGCTAGCCATGTTTGGGAGGCACCGGTATGCCCAAGATTAACTTGCACAATCTGTATCATCAGGTAGAGCTTAGGAGTTCATCTTTTTTTTTCTTTTACTTTTTCTAAATCATTTTTTACAACAGAAGTAACACTTCAGTATATTTTTACTGCAAAACAATATAAAACTGAAGTCCTTCTTAACTAAGTATTATAACTTGCATTACTGCAAAAATTTTTGTTGTTTTGAATTCTGGACTTTTGTAACACAAGAAAAACGTAATTATATGGGCCCAGCACCAGGGCTCAGTAGCTAGACCCTCACTTTGCAAGCGCTGGAATCCCATATGGATGCTGGTTCATGTCCTGGCTGCTCCACTTCCCTTCCAGCTCCCTGCTTGTGGCCTGGGAAAGCAGTCGAGGACGGCCCAAAGCCTTGGGACCCTGCACCAGTGTGGGAAACCCAGAAGAAGTTGCTGGCTTCAGATTGGCTCAGCTCCAGCCATTGTGGCCAAAGCACAGAAATTCCTCTCTGTCTCTCCTCTCTGTAAATCTGCCTTTCCAATAATAAAGAATCTTTTTTTTTTTTAATTTGAGAGCTAATTAACTGCCATTGTGTACATAGGGTGTCTGGGTGACAATAAGCAAGAATTTTCTTTAATAAATAAATGTGTAATTATAATAAAATTCAGCCAGTACAGATATATGAATAGTAAAGAGTACTGTATCTCAGGATTCTGTTCCATTTCCACTCCATGGTCACTGTTAGCAATCCAGTGGTAGCCATCCAGACCTTTGTAAAAATAAATTCACATAATATATACTTAATTTTACTTCTCTATAAGTGAGACCAGTGAGTCAGTACAATGGATCAATAGGGTAATCCCCTGCAGTACCAGAATTTCATGGGTACTGGTTCTAGTCCCAGCTGCTCCACTTCTGATCCAGCTCCCTGCTTATGGACTGGGAAAGCAGTGGAGGATTGCTCAAGTCCTTGTGCCCCTGCACCCACATGGGAGACACAGAAGAAGCTGCTGGCTCCTAGCTTTGGACTGGCGCATTTCCAGTTGTTGCAACCATTGGAAAGGTAAACCAGTGGAAGGAAGATCTACCTCTCTCTCTCTTTCTCTCCGGAAATCTGCCTTTCAAATAAAAATAAGTCTTTTTTTAACAATGAGATCATCTTGTGTCTATCCTACATCTACCTTTATTCAAATAATATTTCCACACCTTCCATATAGATTTTGTTTTACTTTGCTGGCAATTACACAATACTCCATTGTTAGTGGGTACCATAATATACTTAAACATTCTGCTACTGATGGGCTTTCCAATGGTTTCCTGTTTGGGATTTTGATTATTTGTTAAGATAGCAATGCTGTACTAAATATCTTTAGTATATCTTTAATATACACTAAATATCTTTAGTATAGATTCAAGAATATCTTTCAGGCTGGACCTCTAAAAATACAATAGGGTAAGTAAAAAGATTGTTGTGTTTAAAGTTTGTGATTTTAAAAGTAAACACTTTACCATTTCCCTTTCTTCTGCAGAGAGTTCTATCCTGGGAACTGACATTGACCTTCAGACCTTAGACAACGATGTTGTCAGCATGGAGGTTTTCTTCAAAGCGTGGTTGCATAGCAATGGAACAGACCAAGAGCATGTCCATCTTCTTCTTCCTTCACAGTGTTTCAGCAACATCTCCAGAGCCAGAGATACCCCAAGTATACGACCCCCAAAGAGATATTGCATAGGCTGTGATTATCCTTGTCCAAGATTAAGACTACAATTGGTGGATCCTTAGAATGCAGAGTATTTGCAGTTTAGGGGTTTGGTGAAGCTGCTTAGTTCATGCACCAAGTGTAACAAGAGAAGTTCTCTTGGCCCCAGTCACCACACTGTACCTAACTGAGGCCAGCCAGCAAGGACAAGATAAGTTAGAGACAAAATCATAAAGAATTCAATGATATGGCATCAGTTATACTGTATGAGAGTAGAATTAATCATATATATGTCTTTCTCAATATTCTCATTATTATCCTGGTAAATAGTATTGACATGATAATTTGAAGTATGCTATCACCTCAGCAATATTAACAGAATAGATGACAAAAGGAAAAGAAACAAAATTAAGCAGAAATCTCACTAGAGAGTTATTACATTGAGCATAATTAAAACATCTACAGAAGCAATCGTCAGGGAGGACAGCTAGTGGCCTAAGGCCTTGTTCACAAAGCAGTTCAGGCCATTACTGAGACTAAGAAACCAGTGCAGTTCCCAGGGCATGCCAGCAAGGTCCTGGATAGAGTTCTGGCTGACAGTGATATTCATTCCACATCCCACTTACATGGCGGGAATGAGGCCATTTCTGTTTGCCTTTCCACTGTGCAGCTTGGTTTGGGACCTGGGGTGAGAGGACATGCGGACAATTCCTTTGTCTTCCCTTCCTCCTGCCCAAGCCTTTCAGCACCAGGGTCAGAGCCAGAATATGCCTCCGCATCTGTGATCATTTTGTGGAAATCCTCTTCCAAGTGCCCGGTAGAACTCAGATCCACACTCTGAGCAGTGATCTTCTGGGGAGGTCATCTCTGGAATCTAGCAGCATGGGCAGTTGGGATGAGGTCTGGGGAAGCCAGGCCTCCTCCAGAGCAGTGAAAGCAGTAAAGAGACATCTGCTGTTTTTAAAACGGATGCAGTGACATACATGTAGGTTTCTGGACATGTGTCTCACTGCAAAAACAAAATGCTGAGCTTGCCTGCTACAAAATCCTTAGAGAGTGTTCCTTGGGCATTCACCCCAGGTCCTCCTTTACCCCCTTGACCTGCCCCTTGGCTGCCAGGGCCCTTCCTGCCATGTGTAGGTGCTGCATTTAGAGACCTTCCTCTGCCAGCCAGCTCCTGAGGGGAATTGCTTTCTCCTGTCCGTTGGTGTAATGTCTTCCACCTCTACACCTCGCTCTGGTTTTGAACCCTTCTAAAACGGCTTTCTCGACTTCGGAACATTGTGTTAAGACTCCAGTTCCGGTACTTCCCAGCCCTGGTTATAATAAGAATCACACGGCAAACATTATAAAAATACCATTACCTGCACTCCAACCCTAGAAATCCCAATTTAATTGGCCTGGGATAGGCACAGACTTCATTATTTTTTTAAATATTTTCAGGTGGTTTTAAATTTTTTTTTTTTATTTTATGTTACTGATTTCAAAGGCATAGAGACAAAGAGAGGTCCCAAGTACAGGCTCAGTCCTCAGATGCTCACAATGGCTAAGACCAGGTCAGACCAAACCGAGGAGTTGGAAATTCAATCCAGGTTTCACACATGGCTGGCAGGAACCCAAATACTTGAGCCATCACCTGTTGCCTCCCAGGATGTTCATTTAGCAGGAAGCTAGAATCAGGTATGGGACTAGAATTCAAACGGGGGATGCAGGCAGCCCAAGCAGTATCCTTTATTTTAAAAATAAATAAATAAATGAAAGAAGAAGAAAGATTGGGCCCAGCACAATAGCCTAGTGGCTAAAGTGCTCGCTTTGCACATCCCCCAGGATCCCATATGGGTGCCGGTTCGTAATCCAGCAGCCCCACTTCCCATCCAGCTCCCTGCTTGTGGCCTGGGAAGGCAATCGAAGTTGGCCAAAAGCTTTGGGACCCTGCACCCACGTGGGATACCTGGAAGAGGCTCCTAGCTTCGGATTGGCTCAGCTCCAGCTGTTGTGGCCACTTGGGGAGTGAACCATCAGAAGGAGGATCTTCCTCTCTGTCTCTCCTCCTCTCTGTGTATCTGAGATTAGAACTGGTGCCCATATGGGATCCCGGCATGTGCATTGGGATCCCTGTGTGTGTAAGGGGAGAACTTTAGCTACTAGGTGTACAAAGCAAGGACTTTAGCAGCTAGGCTATCATGCTGGACCCAGAATAAATAAATCTTAAAAAAAAATTTTAGTTGAAAGGCAGAGTTACTAATAGGGAGAGACAGAGAGGAGAGTTCTTCCATCAATCTGTTTACTCCCCAATGGCCACAATGTCTGGGTTTGGGCCTCAGTGCATAGGTTCAGGAGCCTAAGCACTTGGGTGATCCCTCTGCTACTTTCCCAGGCCATTAGTAGGGTGCTGGTTCTGAAGTGGAGCAGCAGAGACTGCAGGTGGTGGCTACACCAACCCCCAAGCAGTGTCTTAACCACTAGACCCAAAGCGCCTACTCCCCTGACCCCAGATGATTCTTACTGCAACCAGAATTGAGAACCTCATCAAATGAACACAGCTTTCTGGTCCCACAGCTCAAGGGCCAAAAATGGAGAAGTTAGGCACAGAGGAATGAGAACCTAGAGTCCTATACCGTCTTCTGCTGCCTTCCTAGGCTCTAAGATGTAGCAAGTCACAGGCCAGATCTCTCAGACTTCATTCTAGGCCTTATTCCCTGGATCCAGGAGGACCAGCTGAATCTGATACCTATTTGACTATTCCTATTTGTTTTTCGGCATTATTTCTATTCCTGTTTATTTTTAACCTCACATTGCAGTTAATACAGTCATTTCACAAATCAACTACTCACAAGTACTCAAATTTATGTATTGCTGAGTATAAGGATTCAAAGCCTGCATAAATTTCATTGAGAAACTTTCTCATCTCAGTTACTCATGGCTAGCGCAACAGGACACTGGAATGTGGAGGTACCTGCTGGGACAGTCATTCAGGGCAAAGTCTTGTGGTCCTGAGATTGTTGAACAGCTCGCACGTAGCCTTCCTCCAAACTGCTAGGTGATGCCTTGGGGGTGTTCGGAGGCCAGAAGGTTCTATATGCACATTTCTTTGAAGAATTAAAAAACAACTGTTTCAGGAACTTTCTGTCCCCTCACTCCCCACTCCCTCCCCAAACGTCTCTAGAAGAGCCCACAAAGCAACAGCAGTCAGCTGACTGCCGACTTCTGCTTTCCTTCTGTCTTCATCTGACCTAACTCTTAGCCCCGGGGAAGTGACAGAGGTGAGATTTCCCTCTGTCATTGCCAAAGATCCCCTGCGTGTTCTGGATTAGCTGCCTCCTCTCCAGAGGACGCATGTTCCCTTCAGACTGAATCACAAGCCAGTTCTCTCATCCAGAAACAACTGCTCAGCCAGTCCAAAAGTGAAACAAATAAAAATCATGTTAGATCCAGGAAAGAAGTCCACTGTTGCATGGAACAACAGAGGTTCTGTAGAGTCCACACCTGCTCTAGCTCCCAAGGGGAAAGGCAGTTTCATTTCTACTCCCTGCCCCTCCTTTCCTTTGCTGGCTTGCCCTGTGGAGATGGAATGGGTGGCAGATGTTGTCTCTTCATTCTCTTAATGGTGTAGCCTGAGGTAACTTGCGATCCATAATCCTTCCTCCAACACCACTTCCATTGTAGTGTGCCTGAAATGTGATCTCCAAGAGCGACTGCTCAGCCCGTCCCTGCTCCCTGGCACAGCAGACAGCTCCTTGAGAATGGATGACCCCAAAGGAGACTTCAGCAACCTCTTCCAGATGGCTTCCCAGGCATCAGGCTCTCGCTACAGGCTCCAAGTGGTCAAGTACACTCCAAGGGGGCCTGCACAGTGCATACAGATGGCATTCTGATGGGTGTCACAACTGGGAGGGCCAAACATAGTCTCTAAATGTCAGGCAGACAAGAGTCAGTTTCCAGGTGGGAAGGCATGAAAAAGCAAGGTCCAGCTGATCAGTCTGTGTGTCCTGGCAGCACGCTTAGAGATTGGTTTGGAAATCCAGAATGTCTCTTAACACAAAGAAAAGCAATATTGGACTGCTTTGTCTGAGTTGATTGGATTCTGACTCTGTTAAGGCAACAGGCTAGAGACCCAACCTTTAAGCAGCAAGTGGTACATAGCTTCTACCCTGCCTCCTCCCATTTCTCTGAGTAATAGAAATGCTGCTGCCAGGGGACGCTCCCCCGGGCTGGAATAGCGCAAAGGGCACAGCACACTTGGATGTGTCTTAGTTCCTGCCACAAGGCCCTGCCCGGGTTTCTAAGCCTTGATGCCATGCTAGACACTAATGATACAAAGGAGTAAATCCAAGGCCCTAATCCGGAAGCTTTCAGGGTGCGTGGATCGGGGTAGAGACTGTGGATAGCGCTGAGGAGCCATTCCCTGCCTTTGTGTCTTGCAGGGCTCTGAAGTCTGACGGGATCTGCGAGTCACTGATATTTGGGCTCCCATTCATCCTCAAACCGACGAGCTGTTGGCAGCTGGACTGGGATGAGCTAGAGACAAATCAGCAGCATTTTCATGCTTTGTGCCACAGCCTGCTGGTGAGTACCCAGGTGCCCAGGTGAAAAAGTTAGTGTCAAAGTACCAAGCACAGAAAAGTAGCCAGTTAACGAAGCCTACGTTAGTCCAAACCCTGAATAAGATAGGAAAAAATGAAGATATGTTGACATTTGAAGTTAGCATGGCATTTATCAGTTTCATGCTTAGAAACTAATTCCTGAGTTCAGTTTTAAAATACCAAACTTGAAAACCTAATTTCATAAACCTAACATTTAAATGACAACAAGAAATTTTTCATCAGGAACCTTTCTTGCCTTCTCTCTCTCTTTTCTTTTTTTAAGATTTATTTTATTGTTTTTATTGGAAAATCAGATATACAGAGCAGGAGAGACAGAGAGCAAAATCTTCCGTCTGCTGATTCACTTCCCAAGGGGCTGCAAGACCAGTGCTGCATCAATCTGAAGCCAGCAGCCAGGAGGTTTTTCCAGGTCCCCCATGTGGGTACAGGGTCCCAAAGCTTTGAGCCATCCTCAACCGCCTTCCCAGGCCACAAGCAGAGAGCTGGATGGGAAAATAGGCTGCTTGGATTAGAACCGGTGTCCATATGGGATCTTGACACATGTAAAACAAGGACTTGGTAGCCACTGGGCTACCGCACCGGGCCCTTTTATTTTATTGTTCATGTATTTGAAAGTCAAAGATATACAGAAGGAAATCTCCCATCCACTGGTTCATTCCCTAGAAGGCTACAATTGCCAAGGCTGTGCCAGGCCAGAACGAGGAGCTTCTCCCAGGTCTCCCACATGGGTGGCATGGTCCCAAACACTTGGATCATCTTCTTCCACTTTTCCTAGACCATTATCAGGGAGTTGGATCAGAAGTGATGCAGCTGGGGCACAAGCAGCTGGCCCCTATTTTATGTAAAATCTTTATCAATTTATTTATTATACATACAGAGCAACAAGGAGAGAGGGAGAGAAAGAAAAAGAGAGAATCTTCCATCTGTTGATTCACTCCTCAAATGGCTACAACAACCAGGTTTAAGCCAGGCTAAACCCAGGAGCCACAAACCCCATCCTGATTTCCCACGTACTGGATTGGGGACTCAAGCCAGCACGCTGATACGGGATACCAGCATCACAAATGGAAGTTTAGCCCACTGTGCCAGAACACTGGTCTCCAGAAGTTACATTTTAAAGCCTACTCCCTGGGTAGGTTTGCATTGTGGCATAATAGGTTAACCTATCACTTGCAGTGCTGGCATCCCATAGGGGTGCTTATTCTAGTGCCAGCTGCTCTACTTCCAATCCAGCTCCCTGTTAATGTGCCTGGAAAAGCAGCAGAAGGTGGCCCAAGCGATTGGGCCCCCCTGGACCCATGAGAAAGACTCAGAAGAAGCTCCTGACTTTGGACTCACCCAATCCTTGATTATTGAGCCCATTTGGGGAGAGAATCAGTAAAGGAAAGACACTTCTCTCTTCTCTCTCTCAGATTTTCAAATAAGTAAAACAAATCTTTTTAAAAACTAACCTACTCACTTTCTTACCTTGCATTACACATTATAGTTTATAAGTATAGTTATAAATGTATAACATAATTATAATGTTATAGTTATAAATGAAGAATACTTGATCTGTGCCAAACACTATGCTAAGCCCCAGACACATTTTCAGAAGTGACATGCGGACATTTATCTAAGACCTCAAGAAGCTGCCGCTCTAATGGAAAAGACAGAAAAATAAATATCCATGATTGTTTGCATGATACAAAGGGAGGCTGCTCTAGGAGAGCCTTTCTGACATTTAAACTGAGACCTGCCTATTGAGTGGGAAGTAGCCAGATGCAGAGTGGCAGGACAAGCTTTCCAGGTGCAGGGAAAAGCGCACATGAAGAAGACCATAAGGGAACTGCTGAGAAAAGACAAACAGAACGAGGGGCAAGAGGCAAAAGGTGGGGCTGGAGAAGTGAGCAGGGATCAAATGACACAAAACTTTGCAGGCCAAATTAAGGACTTTTGTCTTCATCTTTACAGGGAAAGAAATCACGAGAAAAATCTTTAAATATTACTGGAACAAAACTTGAAATAATCTAGCAGAAACCAGAATGGGAAAAAGAAAATGAGGTGGGAGGGCATTGAAGCAGTCTGAACAACAAATAATGGTGACTTGGAAGTCAAGGCTCAGGCATTTGGCACAGAGCCTTAAACCTGCTCTCAGTGCCTGAGACCAAGTCCTTACGGTTCCATTTAAGATCCAGTGTCCTGATCATGTGAGCCTAGGAGAGAGCAGGCTCACAGGGCTGGGTCCCTGCCACCTAATGGGAGACCGGATGGACTTCAGAGCTGCTGGCTTGGGTCAGGCCCCCCCTTGACTATTGGTCATTTAGGGAGTGAACTAACAGGTGGGAGTTTCTCTCTAATTCTCACTTTCTCTCTGCCTTTCAAATAAAAAGAAAAAAGTAAATAAATGGAAAAATTAAGCAACTATTAGAACTCAACATGAGAAAAGTAAACAGTTAAAGAAATGTTTCTGAGATGGGCTCGTAAGAACTTGGTGAAGGATTGGATGTAGAGAATGAGGAAGAGGAAGTGTCAAATAACTTTTCTGACTCAAACTAGTTGGATGTCATTCTCTGAAATGGAAAAAAAAACTAAAAAACACACAGATGAAAAAAATATAAAGAAAAATAAGAAGACAACTGTAATTGACTGTAAGAACACATATAAAATGAAGTTTGACTGTGTAGAATATGATGATCACACCACACAGCAATGTGTCTTTTTCACTATCAGAAGCAGAGTTCTTTTTTTCCTGTTTCAAAGCCACACTCCCTTTTAGTTCCACCCACTGAGTTCCTGTTTCCTATCTGAAGAGCGCCCGGCTCCTATCTCTGCAGAGCAGACAACGGACCCATTCTGACTTAGTGCCCTGCAGCTCAGTGTGCTGTTTGCTCTTGGCTCCTCCAAGTTCCTCAGGATCCAGGATACATCACCTAGAAAGACTATCTCCCAAGTGGTGTCAGTACATTCTTAGAGTATTCAACCTTTCACACAGCTGAAGGGTTTTACAAATAGTTTGTGGAAAATGGTAGTAACAAACTATGAGTGAATTTCAAAAGAAATATCGTTTGGTTCTACTTTTCCATGAACTCTCTTGTACACTGGTATTCTACTTATTATTTATCTGAAAGAGACACAGAGAGAGAAAGACGTGCACAGGGAGCGAGAGAGAGAGAGTCCACAAGTGCCCAAGTCCACTCCCTAAATGCCTGCAAAGGCAAAGCTGAGACCTAGAAACAGTCCAGCTGCTTTAGCAGTCAGTCATTGCCTGCCCAGGTCTGCTTTACCAGGAAGGTGGAGTCAGGAACTAGAGCCAGAGCTGGGGATTAAACTCTGATGTGACATGGGAGCAGCTAAACCACTAATCCACATGCTTACCCCTACAATAGTCCTATCATACGCTTACAAAGGGTAGGTAAATTTTCTGGAAAATGGTATCTTATACCACGTGTTCTGGAAATGTAGCCCAATAAACATTCAGAAAAGAAAAAAAAAAGCGCATGCACTATCATGTTCATTTTAGTGTTTTTTCCATAGTTTGAAAAAAAATGAAAATAAATGTCCAAAATATAGGAATGATTAAGCTGAAATAATGGACAGATTATATAGGAATTGTAATTCCGAGAAGAAATGAAATATTAAGAAGCCATTAAAAATATGAACAATAAAAGGGTATTGTCCTCCATCCTGGCTTATCTTACGTGAGACCAGAGTCTCTGTGCCACTGAACTCAGGGTTTGAGAATCTGTATTTAATTCTTTGACAAATATTTACTGACTGCTATGTGCCATGCACTGCTCTTTAACCCTCTTCTCTCTTGAAAACTCACATGTAAGTTAGCCATTACCAACACAGACCTATTTTTTTGAACACTTTATTTAATCCTCAGAACTCTTTTTTTTTAAGTAACAAATAACATAATTTAATCCTCAGAACTCCTTTTTTTAAGTTTATTTATTTTTATTGTAAAGTCAGATATACAGAGAGGAGGAGAGACAGAGGGGAAGATCTTCCATCCGATGATTCACTCCCTAAGTGACCTCAGAGGCCAGCGCTGCGCCGATCCAGAGCCAGGAGCCCAGATCCTCTTCTGAGTCTCCCACACGGGTGAAGGGTCCAGAAGCTTTGGGCCGTCATCAACTGCTTCCCCAGGCCACAACTAGGGAGCTGGATGGGAAGTGGAGCTGCCAGGATTAGAACCGGTGCCCATATGGGATCCCGGCGTGTTCAAGGCGAGTATTTTAGCCACTAGGCCATGGTGCCGGGCCCACTCAGAACTCTTTAGGAGATAAAAATTGTTGTCCCTAGAATTTTATTATTTTTTTTTTTAATTGGAAAGGCAAACTTACAGAGAAAAGGAGACACGAAAAGAAAGATCTTCCATTGACTGGTTTACTCCCCAACTGGCCACAACAGCCGCAACTAAGCCAATCCAAAGCTAGAAGCCAAGAGCCTCTTCCAGGTCTCCCACACGGATACAGGGTCCCAAGGTTTTGTACCAGCCTTTACTGCTTTCCCAGACCACAGGCAGGGAGCTGGATGAGAAGTGGAACAGTGGGGACAAGAACTAGTGCCTGTATGGGATCCTAGCACATGCAAGGTGAGAATTTAGACATTAGGCTATTATGTCGGGCCCTGTCCCTAATTTTTACCTATGGGAAAGATTGAGGTCCAAAAAGACCAGTGACTTACCAAGATCACATGGCCACTGAAATGAATAATTCAGAATTTGAACCAGGTTGTGCTAACTACAAAGCCCATGCTTTTAACTTCCTCACTAAATTATCTTCTCTGGTTACAGCCAGATTAAACACAGACTGCAACACTAAAACCAATTCTCCCCTTAATTACCCTGGACTTCACTGGACTTGAACTCACTTGAAGTAGCTGGGTGGTTGTAACAGCTCCTTATCCATATTGAGCTACTGTTCTCTCCATTTATCTGGATTAAAGGGTTTCCTGTTCTGGAAAAGAGAGAAATAG